TCCGTCCGTCCGTCCGTCCGTCCGTTGGTCTGTCTGTCTGTCTGTCTGTCTGTATGTATGTATGTGTGTATGCGTGCATGTATGCATGCATGTGTGTATGTATATGAATGTGTGTGTATGGACCTGTATGGACTACAAGGGAATACTATTTCTCGGAATTCCGACCTTTTGTATACTCAGAGGCTCCAGCTGGTCACCTCATCCTGGGTGCTGATAGCACACGGCCTGCACGTTCGAGGTTTGAAGCCACGGTTTAGAGTTTAAGGTTTAGGGCGTTAAGTTGTGGAATTTCGTTTGGGGGCTTTCGGCGGCTTTTGTTTCCCGTTTAGGGCAATGCATAGCCGCTCACGCCCTTGGGAGTTCAGGGTATTCGAGATTCAAGGCATGCAATCACTTTCGTCCCAACACATCCCCATAATAGTACCCAAACCGACACACGCAAAGGAACTTTTACAGAGCTTGTAAATCTCTTCAATCTCCATGCAATCCAGAACCGTGATTTTTAGAACCTTATGCGGCAATTGACGATCTCGGAATCAATTTTCAGGTTTTGACCTCCGTGGCACCGTCAGCGTAGAGCGCGAAGACGACCACGTGCCATCCTTGCCACGGTAGCACAAGAAGGGTCGCTTCCCCAAGCCACGGCGGGCATGTCGTTCCAGGGCTGGGGGCTTGTGGATTGGGGTCTACGCCTTCAATAGTTCGGAAGTGGGGGCTTCAGGCTGTCACTAAGTTTAGGGAACGATGTGGGGGTGTCGAGGGCTCCAAGTCATGCCACGCCCAGACCCTCACCAGGGAAGACTGTGGGACCGGAAATAAAGACTGTAGCGGAACAAACAAGAACGAGAACGACAACAACAACAACAAACCATCACGGGCCCACACCCACATGAAGAGTTTATCTTGTTCCTGACCCTGTACCCGCCACAATTCTGTGCTTGCGTACGATCTTGAGAAAGAAGTGTGACGGCCTCTATATGGTTAATACTACTAGCATCACGATCAGTACGACCGGTTTTTGGAGTGAGGTTGCTGTTATGCTCATCCTTTTCCTGTTGAGATGTAAAATGAATGTCATTGCCAATTGAAGCAGTGTTGTGCGACTGCTACATACATACAGGCAGGCAGACAGACCGACAAGCAAAATACGTTTGAGGGGGACATGGCATTTTAACGGGAAGAGGCTGTGAACAGCAAAGGTGCGATCGTCGGCCGCGGCGACTGGATCAAGCAGGTGGGATCCTGTCAGGTGTTCGAAAACTGTGTTGCTGCGAGATCCGTTTTATAAACGAGGGTTGTTCAGATAAAGGCCACGGTTCTGTAAGGTTGACAAATTCCGACTGCTTGGAGTCTCTGAGACTGTGGATTGCATGGCTGACTGGTTGGGCTTTGTCCAGGTATCTGTTCTAGGATATTGACTCACCGGCCTTTTGGGGATTGGCCGCGGCGTGCCGCCCAGTCTGTCAGGCTCGATACGGGAGTAGATCCTGAAAGTCTCGCCGCAAGTTGCGAATTGTTAAAGCTATTGAAAGACGCAGCGGCATCATTCTGCGAAAAATGTGGGAAAAGGGTTCTGGGTCTGATCTCGTGGTGAAAGGAAAGAGGGGAGACCCGACCAACACCCGGCATAGCCAAGTGCGGTCAAGAAAGGACGGTAGTTGTGGTGCTTCTGGGGCGAACCGAACTAAAGACTGTAATATGTCAAGTGTCCATGCCACAACCCCACCTGTTCGGACTCCGCGGTGACGATGTAGCCACCTCGGTCAACTTGTTAGATCTCGTGAGAATAAGGATACTTGTCAAAAACATGGAACGCAAAAAGACTGAGATATGGCTTAACTTTGCCTTGACTTTCACTTCAAGAAGGCCAAAAAACCGGCACACCCTGTCGCTGTGGGAACAATAGTGGACGACACTTCTCTCAGGACTCTAGAGACACCCTACGACCAAGCTCCTCCAAGGCTCGCAGTCCCTATGATGCCAAATGTGCGTGAGTGTCTCTACCTAACTAAGCCTACCTGTCGGCCCATATAAGCCATGGACGGTGTATCTCCCATGCGCTTCGCCGACTTCCGTGACTTACCGTCTCTGGCTCTCTCGCTCTTGCTTGCCCTTGTTATCAACAGACCCCACTGGAGCATCAGGATGTGTCCTCCCATTGAAAACGATTCCGACATCCGTAACGCCTAAACCCTAAACACTGGCTGTCGGGGTTCCGTCTGTTAGTCTGGGGTTCAAGATCGAGGGCTATGGACTCAGGGTGTAAAAGAGTTTGATGTAGGAGCTTAACCTTTTCTGCCCTATCATTTCGTGCGATGCTGTGGGCGGCACAGGGCTCAGCAACCACGGGAACATAGGACACCTGCGAGACATCTTACCACCCATGGCCTTGACCTGCATCCGTTTGACAACCAGATCCCTCCACCGGCCCCTCTAAGCCAAACTCTATCCGACCTTGTCTCTGTAAACACACTAAGCCCCTCAAGTTGCCAGGGGCTCCCCTTTCTGTCCAGTGGCCAAATTACACGAAGTCATCAGGTCATGCAGGTCCCTGCGAGGTGTTTCTGTTTCGACTAACCGCGCCTCGTAGTTCCCGAACCCTGCCACCCCAAAAGGACTTTAGGAACAACCAGTACTCCTACTCAGAATGCCAATGCTAAAGGAGCATCAAGATTCCAGATCTGTCCTCGCAGCGATTCTCCGAAAAGTAGCAGGCCCCGTCGTCGTCGTCGACGAAGTCGTAAAGGCTTTGGTCATAAGTTATAAGCATGTCGTAGCAATCTGGTCACTTCTACAGGTACCACGAGCGCTTGCACCACTAGCACTAGCACTGCCGGAAGAACCGTTACTGCTTACTGCGACTACTACTTCTCCTCCTCGCGCTGCAGCTGCAATTGCTACGCTATACGAGAACGACTACGGCTAGGAGGACCAGCTGCGAGTATTCACTGTTCGTCCAGTACCACTGCTAGTACCCCGAGTGCGCTACGAACAAGCGAAGTTCCCGGACCTCTGAGACCAGCGTGGGCCGCGGAAACTCTATCGGTGGTGCCTGTCCGGCGGGAGCTTCAGAAATTCTGCTGAAAAGCTTGCAAGCGTTACCTTTGGCCTGCAGGGTTCAAGCTGCAGGTTACCAGGTTGCTGCTGTGTTGAAGAGCAGGGCTAGCCCCTGACTGGCATTAGCGTCTGGATCCGGAGGCCGCGAGGGTGTAGACGAGCCATATACGCCGAGCAGAACATTTTGGCCCGGCTTTGATGATGCTCGCACTGTTGATCGTTCAGGACGTATCTACACCTAGCTCATATACATATACATATATACATATATACATATATACATATATACATATATACATATATACATATATACATATACATATATATATATTTCCTCTCGCTCTCCCTCTTCCTCTCTCTCTCTCTCTCCCTCTCTGGCTCTCTCCCTCTCTCTATCTCTTTTCTCTGTTTCTGTATGTCTACATGTATGTAATGTAATGTAATGTAGTGTAATGTAAGGCAAGGTCATGTAACGTTAGGTCATGCAATGTATGTAGGTATATATGCATTCAAGTATGAATGCATGTACACACCTACATGCTCGTATACATAGATACCTACCTACCTACCTACCTACCTACCTACCTACATACATACATACATACATACATACATACATACACAGACTTGGCATGCATACATGACGAAACAACAACACAAACACGAACAATGAAACTCCTACTCCCACTACTGCTCTTACTTTCACTACTACTACTGCCACGACTGCTGCTGCTAGCACTGCTGCTACAAACTACAACCACCACCACCAACGACTACGACTACGACTACGACTACGACTACGACTACGACTACGACTACGACTACGACTACAACAACTACTACTACTACTACTACTACTCCTGCCTCCTCCTCCTCCCGTGTTTTTCTTTGCGCTGTCACAAGTAACACATCTGTACAGCAAGGAGGCATCATACAATACCACTCGATGTCTTCAGGCTTTCTCTCTGAATCGACCTGCCTGCAACAGGGGCTTATCAAGCCCTCGGCTCTGGGCCACGCGCTTCGAGCGCGACTGGGCCTTGGCAGCCATGTTTCAAGCAGAATGAGGCTGCGTTACCCCATAGAATCCTAGAACAGCTGCAGGGAGTGCATGCAAGAGCTTCAGCAGTTTATCCAACGCTGAAGAGGAGCATTTTCAAGAGTTATAAGGCGCTGAAACTCTCGGAGCAGTGGTCAAAAAGATCTTGCGAAGCACTTAGACGAACCGGGACCCCTGCATATGGCATCACCTCCACTTTCAGCACGGCTCGCTCTTGTCGATGCCTCCGCCAACGCGACAGGATCTTTTGAAATGATGATGTTGCAGAAGATGATCAGATCGATGTTGATGCTGACCATATTGGTAATGCAAACATGTGAATACTCTTGCCGGTCGCTTGTGGACCTCGGCTGGGCCAACGTAGCAGTCGGTGCTGAATGTGACCTCTGCTTTCTTCCGATTTGGAGCTGAGGCACGGGGCTGAGGGCAGGAAAGAGGCTGGCTGCTTTGAATAAGATGAGCTTTTGACGAAGCTTTACAATGGTGGAGATCGCTTGTAAATAAAGGTATTGCAAGTGCTGTTTGGGCTTCCTCTCGAAGCTTGTCAGGGCCAAGATGCTGAAGACCTACTAACGTTAATGTGCCTTGCGAATAAGTCCTGCAGCGGCCATGGGGTTGATTCTGGCGGTTCAGTGTTCAATTACAAGGCTTAGGCTTCAGTCTGCCGGGACCTGCAGACCCAGGGACTTTATCTTCTTCGGGTGTTTGCCATGTCTTTCTTCGGGCTCGATGAAAGTGAAGCTCTTGACATAGCTTGTTCTGGTGCTCTTGTGCGTACGCACGTGTACATACATGCATTCATTCATCCCATACATACATACATACATACAGACAGACATACAGACACAGACAGGCAGACAGACAGACAGCCAGGCAGGCAGGCAGGCAGGCAGACAGACAGACATACATAAGTATACATACACAGAGGTATATAGCACATGATGCGTAACCACAGCATGCTGCTGACACAGCAAATTCCAGACATGCTAAATTAAAGGTTCACTCTAAGGAATCGAAGCGCAGTTCTCAAAGACTGTTCATCAAACCGGGTATACCAAACCGAACACCAGGCCTTGCAGCTTAAATCTGATGAAAAACAGAATGAAAGAACAAATCTGCCTGAACCCGCGAATGCAAACACACCCGGCCTCACCACCGGGCGCGTCACTGCCTGCTCAGCTGCAGCACCTTGAGGCGCATCAATTCAACTGGCGTTGACTTTGCAAGACTTTCCTTCGAGCGTCTTTGGGTTTGGGCGTGGAGTATAGCTCTTGACCTGTCCTATTTAGAACAGTTTGATTCTCCGTCGGGTCGGGTCGTTCACGTGTCGGATCGGCTCGCTACAAAGCCTCAATTCACTGGCATTATCTCACTGCAGCAGGTGGCTTTGCAGGTAGCCCGGGGAACACGAAAGCAGACCTGTTAAATCGAAACAGGCTTGTTTGGGGCTTTTTCTGCTTTTTTAAACAACTTGTTTCGTTTGAA